CACAGTCCACGGGCACACTTGTGGGTGGCCGCGCACAGTCCACGGGCACACTTGTGGGTGGCCGCGCACAGTCCACGGGCACACTTGTGGGTGGCTGCGCACAGTCCATGGGCACACTTGTGGGTGGCTGCGCACAGTCCACGGGCACACTTGTGGGTTACGGGAGGAGTGTGGGGACACCAGCCAGCTTGAGGTGCCACAGCATCTCCCCGGCTGCATGTGGGGAGCAGGGGCGAGAGGCGGGGTGCGGAGCTGCCTGGGAAGGGCAGGCCCGGCCTCCCTGCAGGACCATGCAGTGAAGTCCTGACCCCACATTTGTGCAGTCTAGCCACGTGCTAGCCCTGCAGAGAAGTGGGCAGGTCGGGGCGGTTGTGCGCCCTGGTGCCTGGGTCTCACTTGGACGGTGAGCGTCTGGGGTGACACACGGGCCATGTTGTGACCGTGAGACTCACCAGCCGCCTCCTCCGCCAGGCTTCACCATTATCATCGAGCCCTTCGATGACAGGACCCCCACCATCGCCAACCCCATCCTGCACTTCAGGTGAGATGCGGCGCTGTGTGGGCGGGACAGCCTCGACCCCGCCTGCCCTGTGTGACCCCTGTGTTGTCCTGCAGCTGTATGGACGCCTCCTTGGCCATCAAGCCTGTGTTTGAACGCTTCCAGTCTGTCATCATCACCTCTGGGGTGAGGACTCCGTGATGTCACTCCATGGGGCCCCGGTCCCTGCCCCGTCCTGCTGAAGGCTCCCTTGCTGTCTCTGTTGCAGACACTGTCCCCACTGGACATCTACCCCAAGATCCTGGACTTCCACCCCATCACAATGGCAACCTTCACCATGACGCTAGCCCGAGTCTGCCTCTGCCCAATGGTGAGTGGGCGAGACAGGTGGGGCCCCTCCTCCTGGCCTCTGTGTCGGCCGCTCAGCTGAGGCTCAGGCCTGGTGGGTGCAGCAAGCCACCAGATGATGCCTGCATGGGAGGGCGTCGTGCTTAGGGACGCCGCGCAGAGTGCGCACCGGGGCAGGGCAGGGCTGCTCGGCCGCCATCTTGGTCAGGGTGGGTTGCCATTTGTCACCCAGCTGTGACTTGGGCAGTGAGCCTCCCCGTGAAGCTTTGGGCAGAGCTGTGTCCTCTCAGCCCCTGGCCTCTGCTTTGGAGTTTAGAGCCCAGCAGGTTGCTAACCATGTTCACCCCACAGCCACAGGCAGCCAACTGTGGCTGGGGATGCTGCCTGGCACAAGATCCGAAACACTTGAAACCTTATCAGGGTTTGTAGCCCGGCTGTGTGCTTGTGGAGCAGGAACTTGTAGAGGGTGGTGGGTGCCAGAGGGTGGGTCTGTGTGCAGGTGCAGGCCTCCCCTCTCGCCAGCGGGGTTAGACGGTTGTTCTTAGAGCCGGGGACTGGCGTGGTGGACCGGGAGGGTTGCTGACGGGTGTGTGCTGTGGGTGACCTGTACTCCAAGGCTGGAGTGGAGCCTTGCTTAGAGCCCAGCGGTCCCTTCCCTGGGGCTTGCTGCTGTGTGGCTGCAGGCTGGTGGCTCACGGCTGAGCACCAGGCATTTGCCTAAGCAGTGCCAACCACAGGCCTAGGGCTGTCCAATCCACTGTCCACACAAGGCTTTCCTGAGCTCGGGCCTTATCTGGTCGGGTGCTTGCCTAGCACACAGCAGGCCTTGGGTTCCGTGCCCGGCAGTGCATGCCCGGTGTGGTGAGGTAGGCCTGTGATCTTGGGATGTGGGCAGGAGGACCAGGAGTTATTCAGGAGCACCTTGGCTACACAGAACTTCAGAGGCTGGGGAACAGCCTTCTTATGGGCTTGCAAGGATGGATAGCCTCAGTGAGGCTCCTCGTCTAAAGGCCAGCCTGGGCTACATGAGACACCATCTCAAAAAGGGGCATTCAGCTATAAAGTGTGTCACACCACCTTCACGCTGCTCTTCCAGATTATTGGCCGTGGTAATGACCAGGTGGCCATCAGCTCCAAATTTGAGACCAGGGAAGACATTGGTGAGTCACCTATGGGTCTGCTTGGGGTGGGTGAGGGACCCCATAATGGGACCCCAGCCTCTGTGGCTAACATGGGCCTCCCCCCACCCTCAGTGGCCCGCTGCGGGTTAGACCTGCCCTGGGTCTCTTCACTGTGGGAGCTGCGCCACCAGGCACATCACTGAGCCTCAGTACATAGCACAGGGCCCTTGGGACATGGGGCGTTGGCTTCTGAGTATCGTCTGGAAGAGACACAGCCACTGCTGCATGTTTCTTGTGCTGTGACGTGTCATATGGCCTTGATGAACCTCGGGGTGGCGGGCCGCCCTCTAATAGGCTTGGGAGGGTGAGCTGGTATGGGGATGGGTAAGGAGCCTCAGCGGGTGCCAGGGGAGGATCCAGTCCCTAACCCCCTCTCTCCCTAGCTGTAATCCGCAACTATGGCAACCTCCTGCTGGAGATGTCTGCCGTGGTCCCCGACGGCATTGTGGCCTTCTTCACCAGCTACCAGTACATGGAAAGCACTGTGGCCTCCTGGTACGAGCAGGTACGCCTAGCCACCGCTGCCCAGACCCTCATCTCCGCTCTCCCTGTCGGGGCTCCACGCCCCGTTTCCACTGGTCACACGCATCACAGCACAGGACAGTGGCGCCAGCAGCACCCCTGCCCCACCCCCACCAGAAGCCTGCAGGCTCTTCAGTGCCCCCCTCCACCAGAGGGGAGCACCCTCTGGGCAGGGGCGGTGCTGTGACCGTAAGGTTCCGGGGAGTTAGGCCGGACCAGAACTCCCGCTCCAGCTCTCGTGTGTGGATGAGGCCGTGGGGGTTCTGGTGCCCTTCTGTCTTGTGACTGCAGTGAGCCCAGCTCTCAGGCCTGGGTTCGAACAGGCCCCGAAGACTGGGTGTGCCTCAGGCAGGTACCTAGTGTGGACTTCCCCAGTGAGGAGCTGTAGGTTTAGTTAAATGGTAGAGCGTGTGCGTGACATGTACAGACCGTTGTCACAGTCGATCCCTAGTACTGAAAAAGAGGAGATTTGCCGGCCTGAGGGCATGGGCGGGCAGACTCTTGGCTGTGTCTATGAGGCACCTGGGTCCCGTCTTCTGAACTCAGTGAGGTGTCTGTTGTGAGGATCTCTGCTCACTGAGCTGCCCAAGTGACCCTGGCTGGTGCCTCTGGACCCTGCGTCTTGTCCCGGTGGGTGGCCCGACTTGTGTCTCAGTTCCTTATCATCGCAGTGACAGATTTGAACTCAGGGTAACCCCTGGTTGGTCCTGCCTGGATTGTGGTCAGGCCCTCCACCTGCACTGGCCCCTTTGGGCCCCATGCCCACCTTCCTGGGTGGTGATCAGCTCCCCACTTTGGACTGCCAAAGAGGCTGGTCAGCTGGGGCCCAGAGAAGGACCTCCCTGGGGGGTCACAGCAGTGGGGCCGGAACAGGAGTGTTGGGCCTGTGTGGCCCGTTGTCCGAACCCCTGTCACCCCCAGGGCATCCTTGAGAACATCCAGAGGAACAAGCTGCTCTTCATTGAGACCCAGGACGGGGCGGAGACCAGTGTGGCCCTGGAGAAGTACCAAGAGGTGGGTGCCTGGGACAGGCAGGGGATGCCAGCTGCCGGCAGAGCGGGAGAGGGCTGAGGAGTGACCGCCTGCCTCTACCTCCCTAGGCCTGCGAGAACGGCCGGGGGGCCATTCTGCTCTCAGTGGCTCGGGGCAAAGTGTCAGAAGGGATTGACTTTGGTGAGTGGACCCGGCTGTCAGCCCAGAGGCCCCCCACCCTACCGTGGCTGCTCCCTTGGGGACCACGGGCATGCAGAGGGGTCCCGTCCCCTTTCCGTACCCGGGGCAACCCCGAGCACACAGCCTGGCCGGCCCGGAGTGTGACCATGCTCTCCTGCCCCAGTGCACCACTACGGGCGGGCTGTGATCATGTTTGGCGTCCCCTACGTCTACACCCAGAGCCGAATTCTCAAGGTGAGTGGGGAAGCAGTGGGTGGGGGTGGGGGTGGGGGGGGCGTTGGCGTGAGGGAAGGGCTGGCCCTCTACTTTAGATCCTCCCTCACCCCAGGCCCGGCTAGAGTACCTGCGGGACCAGTTCCAGATCCGCGAGAATGACTTTCTCACCTTCGACGCCATGCGCCATGCAGCCCAGTGTGTGGGCCGTGCCATCAGGGGCAAGACAGACTATGGGCTCATGGTCTTCGCCGACAAGGTGGGGCTCAGGGCCTCTGGGCCTCCCAGCTGGTCCCACTTCCTCACAGGGACGGGCGGTGGGCAGCCTGGCTTCCAACCTGGGGTCCACTGTGCTCCCCCCCCCTCACAGCGGTTCGCTCGGGCCGACAAGCGCGGCAAGCTGCCTCGATGGATCCAGGAGCACCTGACCGACTCCAACCTCAACCTGACCGTGGACGAGGGCGTGCAGGTTGCCAAGTACTTCCTGCGGCAGATGGCCCAGCCCTTCCACCAGGTAAGCCCTGGGCCCCGCCCCTCCTCCCTCCTTCCCAGGGGCACAGCACACTTTTCCTAGTCACCCCAGGGCCCCCAAGTCCAGGAGGGAAGGCAGAGTGGACAGCCCGGGGCACTGATGGGACAGCCTGGCGCCCTTCCCCTAGTTCAGCCAAGCACCCCGTCTCCGGACATGGGTCAGGTGGATGGGTGCAGTTTGACCCCCTGCCTTTACCCCGCCCCCAGGAAGATCAGCTGGGCCTGTCACTGCTCAGTCTGGAGCAGCTGCAGTCAGAGGAGACGCTGCAGCGCATCGAGCAGATCGCACAGCAGCTCTGAAGACGGGACGGCGGCGGGGACACCTGTGGCTCCCCGGGGTGCCGGAGGGTCCCCGGGCCTCAGGCGAACACCCAGTCCAGTGTGCAGCCTTTAATCACAGGGAGGGGACAGCAGGATCCCGGTCCACAGGTGCCACCCACCCCGCTTCCCCGCTTCCTGAGCAGCGGCGGCCACTGCAGCCAGTCCACTTAGCGCGGGCTCAAGTCCTGGGTGCTGGCGCTGAGGGTCCGAGGGGCCTCACTCAGGTGCCGCGTCGAGAGCTGGGGGCGGGCACAGCAGTGGTTGGGGTCCTTCCCAGCTGACACTGGGGCCGTGCCATCTCCTGCCCGCCACTCACCCCTATCCTGAGTCCCCAGGAGGAAGCCCCCCCTTCCCCAGTTGCTGAGCCCGCCGGCAGCTCCCGCTCCGCCACTGGCCCTCACCTGCGTCCTGGCAGCCCGTGGACCGTCCATGTTGAGCATGTTGAGTGATACGGCCCTTTTCATCCTTCAGAGGAGGACGGGAGGGTGAGGAAGGCTGCAGCCTGCCCGGCTCTGACCGACGTCATGGAGAGGCCCCGGGAAGGCTGGCAGGCTGCTGACCTCGCCCAGCACTCACTCACCCGGCAGCCGCGCTCTCCCCTCGGAGGCGGGAGACCAGCCTCTCACTGCCCCGCCGGATGGACTCGCGGAACTTGGAGAAGGAGCTGCTCCTACGCAGGACCTGGGGAGGGCACAGGGACATGTGGGGACACGTGGGGACACGGTGGGGACACGGTGGGGACACCCCCGCCGGGCCCGCCCAGGCCCCCGGTGGAGCCTGCCTACCTGCTGCTGAGCGTCACCAGCTGTGCCTGCATGGGGGGCTCCTGTGGAAGAGGGGACACGGAGGTGGGGTGACGGGCGCCACACAGAGGGGGGCAGGAGGGAGGGGGGCTCACCAAGTGGGGCGGGCAGAGCCTCCTGGCTGAGGATCTCCTTGTACAGCTCCTCTGCCTGCTGGTACTTGTTCTGTTTCAGGTAGGCCGAGGCCTGCGGGGAGGGCAGGGCCAGGGTGTGGGCATCCTGCTCAGGCCTGGGAACTTCGCAGACCCGCCCGCCTTCCCCAGCATCCTGCCTTAGCTGACCACAGTGCAGACCCACCACCCCAGAAAACCAGGCTGCCCCGGCCCCTTGTGCCTCGGACTCCTACCTCAATGCCTGAACTGTCGGGGGCATTTGCTGTCACAGTAAAGCCTGACATGCTACTGTAAACTGCAGTTGGCTCCCGGTTCTCTGTACTGAAGGACTGCAGGAGCCCGAGGCCCCCCTACGGACAGCGGCCCAGGACAGAACCCACCATGCCTCACCAGGTTGTTCTTGGTCTTGGCTACGTTGGTGTCGTGAGGCCCCCCCAGGGCCTCGTAGATGCTCAGGGCCCGCGCATAGTGCCGTTCCACATCCTGGAACTTGCCCTGGTTCTGGCAGAGCAAGGCCAGGTTGTTGAGCTGCTTGGCCACATCAGGGTGGTCGGCTCCCAGGACCTGGGGGGCACACAAGCCATCTGTCACATAGGGTGGCCCATGAGACGCCACAGTCACACCAAGGTCGCAGGTTGGGAATGTAGTAACAAAGTGGAAGTGAACGTGGTGGGTGGGAGTCAGCAAGGCCAGAGGTCATGGCTCTGGTTACAAGCTCATCCGGGTGGAGGATCATGAGATTGGGTGCTCCCGGCTCAAGTGGGAGGACCTGCCACCAAACGCAAGGTACACCAGGATTATGGCTCGTGGTACCAGACAAGGCAAAGGGTGGGCGCAGCACCTTCTCACGGATCTCCAGGGCACGTTGGCATAGGGGCTCTGCCTCCCGGTAACGGCCACGTTTCCCATAGAGGACGGCCAGGTTGTTGAGGGTAGCAGCCACCTGCAGGGGGAGAGTGGGCAGAGGAGGAAGGCCAGGCAACACCACCCCCCCCCCAGCCCGCCCTCCCGGCATGGCTGCTCACTGCGGGATGTTCAGGACCCAGTGTCTGCTCCCGGATTTGTAGGGCGTCGTGAAGAAGGTCCGTGGCCTCCTTGTATTTGTTCTGGTCCCTGCAGAGAAGGGATAGAGGGCTGGTTTAAGCCGGGGTCACAGGCTGGACTAGCCAGGAATGACTGGTATCTTTCAGGGGACCCCTTGTCTTCCCACACAGCCAAATCTGTCAATCGGGTCTCCTGTCCCTTGCCCACCCTGGTGCCCCATGCTCTGGGTCTCACCACCTCCCCAGATCTCTGTTCCTTCCGTTGTCCCTCGCTCCCATTCTGTTCCCACCCAGGTGCCTTATCTGGCCAGACGATCGCCAGGGTACCCCACAACCACAGACGGGGCCCCTCCAATCAGCCACACCCCTCACCTGTATACCAGTGCCAGGATGTTAAGCATAGTGGCCACGTCAGGATGGCAGTGGCCCGAACTCCGCTCCAGGTCCTCCAAGGCCTGGCGACACAGGGGCACCGCTACCTCGTAGCGGCCCTGGCCGGCGTACTGGATCACCAGGTTGTGCAGGGTCCGCAGGCGAGCTGGGATCTCATAACCACCCTGCTGCGCTGCTGCAGCTCCAGCTGCCTCGGGACCTGGGGGAGGTGGCGTGGAGTTCCGCAGCCTGCACCCCTCGGCCTGCACCCCACGGCCCGCA